TATCTATCTATCATCTATCTATCTATCTATCTATCTATCTATCTATCATCTATCTATCTATCTATCATGCTCCAGTAGTGAGTGAGGCTGGGATTCGTTCACACCAGGCTCTCACCTCCACTTTCATCCCGTAAACCAGCTCTGTCCACTTCAAAGCATCACTGAACAAAAGCACTGGGTACCAAGTGTTCTGGTCTCATAGCACCCCGATGAGAACTGCTCTTGTTAACTCTCCCTGCCAACCCGAGACAGCCTAGAGTCACCTGAGGAGAAAGCCTTTAGCCAAGAACTGCCTACATCAGATTGGCCTGGATTCATCTGAGGGGAATTATCTTGACCATTTATGGCTGTAGCAGGGTCCAACCCACTGTGGGTGGTACCATTCCCTGCGCTGTTTTTTTGTCTACGGTTGTGTAAGAAAGCTAGCTTTGCATGGTATACGAGTGAGCCAGCAAACAGCGTTCCAGCTTCTAGCTCCTGCTTGAGTTCTTGCTTTGGTTTTCTTTAATGGTGTACTGTAACATGTAAGCTGAAACAGACCTTCTTATCCCCTTATTGCTTTTGGTCAGAGAGCTTTGTCAAGTGCTCACAATGACATCCAGGCCCCGGGTTCCAAGCTCTCCACACTTCATCCCAGTCCTGGGACAGCTCTGTCTGCTGTCCTTAGGAGACAAGATGGCAAAGCTGACAAGAAATGCTGCAGCTGGATCACACTTGGCTCTTTCTCCTGCCCCACAGCCATCCCACATCCAACCCAGGTGCTCCACAGCTGTCCTCCACCCAACCCGGGTGCTCCACAGCTGTCTTCCACCCAACCCAGGTGCTCCACAGCTGTCCTCCACCCAACCCAGGTGCTCCACAGCTGTCCTCCACCCAACCCAGGTGCTCCACAGCTGTCCTCCACCCAACCCAGGTGCTCCACAGCTGTCCTCCACCCAACCTAGGTGCTCCACAGCTGTCCTCCACTCAACCCAGGTGCTCCACAGCTGTCCTCCACAAAGGCTAACCAGTGGGAAACAGAAAGAGCCATATCAGAAAGGATGGGGTAGCTGGGAAGAAGCCACACAGGAAAGGGGCAAAGGTGTGGAGAGCAAGTGAGAGCCTAACGGAGAAGCACTACTGGGCACCTGACAATGAGATCCAGAAGGTGTTGACAGGATGGGAGATGGGAACGAAGCAGGAAGGTTTACTGGTGATCACCGAAGAATCAGGCCACCAAATATGCAGAACCCACTTCCTGTCTCATGGAGATACACAATAAGGCCAAACAAATCTCACAAAGCCATCCTGCTACTTAAAGCACCCAGATACAAACTGACATCTTTTTGTGAATATTATTGTCCAAATTGGTCACTAGTGGTCTTGGGGACAGGGAAGGTGGAGGAAGAGAGACTGGAGTGGGACACAATCCTCTCTAGTCCTCCCAGATTAGGCTGTCACAGTGGTCCCTCTGGGCCTTGGTTCACTCTTCTGTGAAAAGTTAGAAGTTTCTGCTCAAAAATGCTCTTATGGTATGTGGGGGACTTTCTGGCGAGCTAGAACAGCAGATGCTCTGCTTGCCAGGTGTCCCATCCGAGGACTGACCATGTCTGCCCCTGCTTAGCTTCTGAGATGAGAGGAGATCAGGCGCATTCCAGTGTCATGGCTGTAAACTCTACTCAACATTGAAAATTGAGACCATTAAGGGACACACACCATTAACTCCAGGAGAGGCAGGGGGTATCTCCATGAGTTCAAGGCTAGCCAACACTACACAGTGAGATCCTGTCTCAAACAACAACTTCCCTAGCAACGGTCAGTGCCAGAAGGTCTGGGTGCGGTGATTTCAACATGACAAAGCCACCTTTCAAAACAAAACTAGATAAAGCACTTCCCATACTGTGGTCCCTAACCTGAGCGGTTGTTTAGAATGGAATGGAAACAAGCCCCAGGCTCTCCATGAGGATTACATAGATTAGACTAACTGAGGTGGGAAAACCCAGTCTAAATGTGTAATCGTGGGTGGCAACATCCCCTGGGCTTGAATCCTGGCCATTAGCACTCAATTCCCTGCTTTCTGACTTCCGGCCACTGTGACTGTCTGCTTCAAGCTCATTGAGTGTGACTTCCACCATGATGGACTTTTCAAACTCTGAGCCAAAATTAACCCTTCCATCCCGAGCCTATTTTTGTGAGGTGTTTTGTTATGACCACAAGAAAAGTAATTGATAAATACAACCCAACAACGAAAAAATTAAAACCTTTAAACACATGTCTACAAAATCCCAAGAGTTGTCACCTACAAACCTCACAAATCAGGGAGAAGAGAAATGACTCCAGGTTTGAGAAAGAACAATCCCAAAATCTGAGAAAAGAAGGTGAACAGACATGAGAGAAAATCTGTTTTTGCTTTTGTCTTTGTTTTTTTGAGACAGGGTTTTTCTGTGTAGCCCTGGCTGTCCTGGAACTCACTCTGTAGACCAGGCTGGCCTCGAACTCAGAAATCTGCCTGCCTCTGCCTCCCAAGTGCTGGGATTAAAGGCGTGCGCCACCACTGCCCGGCCCACAAGAGTAAATCTGTATTGAAACTATAGAAGGGTGTTTGAGTTTAGGGGAAAAACAGGGTCAAGGAAAAGCACAAGATAATTATAGTATCTAAATTGGGAGAGGTAACAATGAATATTAAATCAGTCTGTTATTCGGCATTGTTTGGGAGGAGGGGAAACATTAGTTGATCTTAGACTTTAATATAGCTGTTAAAATATCCTGAGCAACCACTGAAAACAGGCACAGATTACGTAGATTCTAATTAAGACAGAGAATGGGGGAAACCATTTCAGAGTACAGAACGGAAAAGCCACAACCATATTCACACGGCACAAGTGTCCGTAATCCACCAGTAAGCTGTGCTATAAATCTTTTTCTCCTAATGGTTTTTTAAGAGTCAGAATCTCAACCAGTATCTCAGGCATGCCTTGAACTCAGGCATCCTCCTGCCTCAGCTTCCTAGCCTTAGGATAATAGGATTGTGCTAATCTACCCAACAAGTCAGACAGTGACCAAGGAGCAGTGCTTTAAAATACATTAAAAATGTCAGCATTGTGGAGAGCAATTGGCAAACCCAATGAGGAATTTTACCACTCTCTCCTCTCTCTCTCTCCCCGGAAGCTTATAGAAGTGTGAGGATTGACCCTGGAGCTTCACGCTTGTGAGACAAGAACTCCACCGAGCCATGTTCCGGCTCACAGCTCTCCCGATAACTAACAAATTCACCGTTCAGAACCAGAAAAGAATACAGTCCAGATGATCTGAGCAGTACAGAGAACCCTTCTCCAGTCGTAAAACCAAAGGGACCGTTCTTTCCGGAATTCTCCTCTGTCAAGCACTTTGTCACAACGGAAAGTAACTAATGTTCTTTCCAATGCCATTTCTGATCTAAGATTCCTTTTGACCTCTGTGAAGGAATACAGGTCTGTCTAGCATTAGCTGGGAGTCCCAGACCACAGACTAATCTTAGCAATTCCATCCTATCCCAGAGATTATTTGTAAAGGTTTATTTTTACGTGAGGTGTTTGAGTGCTTGCTTGCATGGATGTATGTACGTTCATGCAGTGTTAATGGGAAGAGTCTGGGTTTTCTGGGAACTGCAGTTACAGACTGCTGGGAGCTGCTGGGAGCTGCTGGGAGGTGCTCAAAACCTAACCTGAGCTCTTTGCAAGCATACCCAATGTTCTAAATGGCTGTCATCCTCCAGCCCCACGAGAGATTCACTCATTCAAAATCCCCTAAAAGACCCCAGCACAGTCCTGGGTTCAGGATGCCTGAGTCCTTTTCTGCCCCAACCTGGCCGTTCAGTCACCAAAATGAGTACAACTTGCCTTATTAGGCCAACACATTTTCTGTGTGTGTGTGTGTGAATGAGACCACCTGGGTGTGCACGTGTGGCCTGTAGATGGTCAGAGACAACCTTGGGTGTTATTTGTCAGATGTCTCCCACCTTTTGTCTCTCACTGGGCTGGAACTTCCCCCAGTATGCCAAACTAGTTCCTGAGTAAGCTCCAGTCCCATCTTTCCACTGCTGGGACTCTGGAAGCATACCATTGTACCTGGCTTTTAACTCAGACTCTAGGTATTCCCACAAGTGATTTACCAACTAAGCATCTCTCCAGTCCCGACAATGAGTGTTTTTTGTTGGTTAGTTTGCTTTACAGCTAGGTTCTTACTGTGTGTAGCCTTGGCCAGCCTAGAACTTACTATGTAGACTAGACTAGCTTTGAACTCATCAAGATCTACCTGCCTTCCAGAAGTTGAGATCAAAGGTGTGGGCCTGGCTGGGCATGAGTATTTTAAGTCCACCCTTTTTCCAGTACCTCCTGTTTTTCCCAGCACACCATGAGGACCCAAAATAGCACGTACAACTTGTTTAATGAAGCATCCTCTTCGAAGTGGCTTCCTTGAAGCAAGCAAGCAAGCAAGCTCACCTTGACCTTGGTAGCGGGTGGCTGTGTCGGGGTCCTGGCTCTGGGGGCTTCTCCTGCAGCTGGCCAGTCATGCTGCTCACATGCTGCTGGGCAGGTGGGAAGAAGAGACCTGGGTCTGAGGGAATAAGAGAAGGGAGGGTCACTCTCTCATCACTTGTGCCCAGATCACCGTCACCCAGTGGAGTGCACCGTTTCAAAGCTCAGAGTTCCCGAAACTTTGCTCCGCTTATGCACTGGGAGAGCCAGTGAGCAGGCTCACGCTCGATAGACCTTCCCCAGCTGTGCAGTGTGTCCTGAAGGACCCCGAGGAAGAGCCGCTAAGACGACTTGGATGAGGTCCCCACAAATAGCGAGAGATTTGAAAGAGAGACGTAGTGCTATGGCACAGTACTTCTCCAACTGTATGTGCCTAGCTACAAGTACTGTGTCACAGTACTTCTACAACTGTATGTACAACTATAGGTACAGTGACATAGTACTTCCCCAACTACATGCCTATTTATAGGGACTGTGACATGATACTTCTCCAGCTGTATGTGTAACTGTAGGTACTGTGACACAGTACTTCTCCAACTGCCTGTGCCTAGCTACAAGTATTGTAACACAGTACTTCTCCAATTGTATGTGCAACTATAGCTACAGTGACATAGTACTTCTCCAACTGTATGTGCGACTGTAGGTACTGTGACACAGTACTTCTCCAACTGTCTGCACAGTACTTCTCAAACCATTTGTAACAAAGATCTGGTTTGTTTTGCATCTTAATTATTTCTTCTCCTTCTTCTCCTTCTTCTCCTTCTTCTCCTTCTTCTCCTTCTTCTCCTTCTTCTCCTTCTTCTCCTTCTTCTTTTTGGTTTTTCGAGACAGGGTTTCTCTGTGTAGTCCTGGCTGTCCTGGAACTCACTCTGTAGACCAGGCTGGCTTCGAACTCAGAAATCCGCCTGCCTCTGCCTCCCAAGTGCTGGGATTAAAGGCGTGCGCCACCACCACCGCCCGGCTTGCATCTTAATTTCTAAGCAATTGACACATACTGTTCGGATATCTAAGACAAATTAGCTGCTAGAGAAATTGAAAGATACCCAAAGTCAAAGTTTTTTTTTTTTTTCATGCAATGCTATAAAAATGGCGCCTCCCGTGGCTGTATGTGTGAGTGAGTGTACGTGGAGGTGCAAGACTCGAGTTGGGAGTCTTTCTTGATTGCTCCCCATTTTACTGACTGGACGGGGTTCACAGTTGAACTCAGAGCTCGCTGTTATGGACCAGCTGTTACAGGGACCCCATCTCTGTGCTGGAGTTACAAGCAGGTGGCCACGCCCTCACAGCAGCTACGTGAGTTGTAGCCACGCCCTCTCAGCATTCACGGGAATTCTGGGATTCAAGCTGACCCCCTTGCTCCTGTGGCAAGCTCTTTAACCACTGAGCCATTGCCTCAGAACAACAACTGGACGGGAAAACCAACAAACCAATCAGGAGCTCCGGCTGCCGTGCACAGGATGCAGGCCCAGTTCCCAGCACCCACGTGGCGGCTCACAGCCATTTGCAACTTAAGTCCCAAGAGACTGGATGCCCAGCTCTGGCTCCATGAGTACAAGGCACAAAATCACACATACAGTACACACAAACTTAATAAGCAAATCTTAAAAAAAATTAAAACAGATTTATTCATTATATTTGTGCATATGTGCACATAAGCATGTGGACGTGTTCACCAGGGGGTTAAGCATCACGGTGACTGTGTGGCAGAGGACAACTTGCAGAACTTGGTTCTCTCCTTCCGCTATGTGGGGCTCAGGGAGCACCTTTACTAAACAAGCTACCTTAATTTAAATATATCTGTATCTATATATCAAAAAATATTAATATGTATGTATGTATGCATCAGAAAATATATTAATATATATGCTATATATGCATTGTACATGTATAGGGAAAGTCTTTGTTAGTGACAACCAGCTTTAAAATATAATAATAATAATAAATAATAAAACATCCCTACCGCTTTCATGGTTGGCGTGTGCCCTAAGGAAGTTTTCCAAGCCATTATCACCCATCTGAGCACTTGAGAGAAAGTGCTCACAGTTCCAGTGACTTTAGAAGCAGCTAGCCCTGAAGAAGAGAACTTTCCCTTTCAAAAGCTTGTTTTCTTTCTAATGCAAACACACACCCTCCCCTATTTCCCCCGCTCTTAACCTAAATCATCTGTAATTTTAGAGTTGGCTGCTCATGAAATTCTATCAAAAGGGCTCGACGTAAACATTCCTATGGCAACGGAAGTTTGCTGAAACAACGTCTGTACCGTTCCAGACATGGTACATCGTTAGCCCTGAACATCGGCGAAGAGAAGATTCTGGGGGAGAGGTGTTTGTGTACAAAACGTTAAAACAGCTATTGGCATCTGAATGGTACACCTCATGGGAGCCAAGAGATGACAGAGGTGGGGAGTGGGAAAGGACTGAGTTCTGGGGAGCTGGGAGTTACATCATAGCCCCTGCCCCAAGCTCCCCCACAGACTGTGAGTTCTTTCTTGGATGGGTTTGTTTCCTGAGTAAGCCTTGAGGTCAGATCAGCAACTCAGCTGTCCTCTCTTGTACCTCAGGCTCGGGGTGCCCCTCTAGTTCCCTAAAGACGAGCTTTTCACAGAGAGACGTAAATAGCCAGTAATAGGCCAGGCAGACTTGATAAAACGCCTGCCGCTCAAGCAAGAGGCCGAGTTTGATTCCTCAGAACCCACGAGAAAGGCAGGCAGAGTGGCCCTGGGTCTGGACTCGGTGCTGGGCCAGCCATCTGGCTAAAGCTGTCTGTGACCTTCCGGCTCAGCAAGAGGTCATGTTTCAAAAATTTAGAGGTGATGGAAGAAAGACACCGGAAGACAGACACTCTGGCATTGGTGCATGCACACACACACACACACACACACACACACACACACACACCACACTACAAAGTTTTACACACCCCTGAATCACTACGGTGGTCACTAGGAAACCAAGGCCTGGTGATTTGCTCAAGTCCACAGAACTGAATGGCTGAGTCCAGGAACGAGGCGCCCAGCCCTTCCTCTGCCCCTCCTCATGGGTCAGAAACCGGACTGGACCGCTTCCCATGTGACCATCAAAGAAACTCTGGAAGGAAGCATCTCTTTCCAAGTACTCAAGGCCAACAACAGGCCACCAACAAAGCCAGATCCACTGTCGTATATATGCTTGTCCTCTGCCTGAGCCTCCGTTTCCCTCCTGCACAAGGAAGGTGACAAGTGTTGGTTTACCACCACACGGCTGTTAGAATCAGGGAGGAATGAAGAGTGAAGTTAAATTTTTTTTTCTATTGCACTTATTGAGTGGTGTGTGGTGTGGTGTGTGTGTGTGTGTTTATGTATGATGGCGCTTCTTTGAAGGACAAGACATCTTTTGCGAGTTGGTTCTCTCCTTCCACTGTGTGGGTCCTGGGTTGTCAGGCCTGGAGGCAAGTGGTCTCACCTCTTGCACTATCTTGCCTGCCCCAAGATTGAGTCTTGAGGGAACCACAGTATTATACAGAAATGAACCCTTTCAAATGGGCCCAGAAGCCCAAGTCAGAGAGGCTGCTCCTTTCAGCCAGATGGTGGCTGAAATGGAAGGAACAGGAAAGCGTGGGGGTCTGCCTTGGAAGGGAGGGACACAGGATACAGCCTACTGACTTCCCGGACAGGAAGCTGGAGCAAATGAAGTGTGAAGAATTCCCTCCTTGCCACCCACAGTAAGTAAGCTAGAAAATTGGCACAGATGGGAAAGGGGGAAAGAGGAGTGGGCTGGGGGAGGAAGAAAAAAGGGAGAGAAGGGGAAAAGAGGAGGGGGAAGAGAAGGAGAAGGAAGAGGAGGAGAAAGAGACAGAGAAGGAAGAGGAGGATAAAGAGGAAGAGGAGGGAGAGGAGGAAGAGGAGGAAGAGGAAGAGAAAGAGGAAGGAGAGGAGGAGGAAGAGGAAAAGGAAGAGGAGAAGGGAGAAGAGGAGGAAGAAGAAGAGGAGGAGGAGGAAGAGGAGGGAGAAGAAGAAGAAGAGGAGGAGGAGGAGGAGGAGGAGGAGGAGGAGGAGGAGGAGGAGGGAGAGGAGGAAGCAGCATCAGCCATGGGCAGGGATCTGAGACTATGTAAAAAGGGGGTTGGCTAAGCACACATCCAAAGTTGTCAGTCCTTAACTGCAGGTGCCGTGTGGCCAGACTTTCATGCTCAAGCCTCCATGACTTTCCATGCCATGATGCCTGCATCCCTGAACTGGAGTCCCACGAAATCTTCCTTCCTGCAGATGCCTTTATTGTGATGTTATATCCATAACCAAGATACCAGTCATCTGTCAGATGAAGTTCCCTCTGTGGAGATGGCGGAAGGAGACTGCACCGTATTCATTCATTCATTCATTCATATACTATCTATCTACTATCTATCTATCTATCTATCATCTATCTATCTATCTATCTATCTATCTATCTATCATCTATCTATCTATCTATCTATCATCTATCTATCTATCATCTATCTATCATCTATCTATCATCTATCTATCTATCTATCTATCTATCATCTATCTATCATCTATCTATCATCTATCTATCTATCTATCTATCATCTATCTATCTATCTATCTATCTATCATCTATCTATCATCTATCTATCTATCTATCATCTATCTATCTATCATCTATCTATCTATCTATCATCTATCTATCTATCTATCATCTATCAATCATCTATCATCTATCTATCTATCTATCATCTATCTATCTATCTATCTATCTATCTATCTATCTATCATCTATCTATCATATGTGCCTGTATTTATGGGGGTTTCAGGGTCAGAGGGCAATTTGCAGGAAGAAGCTGGTTCTCTTTCACCAGATGGGCCCACGGATAGAACTCCTGGGATCAGGCTTGGTGGCAAGGGCCTTCATCTACTGAGCCATCTTGCCAACCTCAAGATAGAATTTTCAAGAGCGACCAGAAGCATATTAGATGTGTCGAAACTCATAGATGTTCTCCAAATAGCTCTTCCTTTCTTTGGATGCCCCACCCCTCCCCACAGAGGCTAAGGATGCTTTTCATGCACTGGAGGTGAGAACTCTACCTCGAGGCTATCATGAGATA